TTAATGTCTTTTGTATTTTTTTGTTTGTTTGTTTTTAGAATTTTGCAGCAGACAACTAAAGAAAGAACCTCAACTAAATAGAGCCTTCCTCATGACAAGGTCTATTGGTCTACAATTACAAGAGATTGATATAACAACAACAAAAAATAGTCCCGATTAAAGCATTAGCTCATCTGAAAATAAAAAAACAAGTGGCTTTTTATTTCTTAATTTTGAAGAATTGCACTTTTTGCTCTTGTCCATGCAATTACTATGAATAGGTACTAACACTTCATGCTTAAAAAAAAAAAAAAAGTACATTGAAAGTATTATTGAAGTAGTCTACATCTCAAACAAATTTAAATAAGGGATAATGTACATCAGCAAGTTATTATTGCAAAGACACTGTGAATAACATCCTGTATCACCCTGAATGTTTCAAAAACCGGTTTTGTAACAAGCATTATAATTCTGCTTTGTGTGTGTGTGTGTGTGTGTGTGTGTGTGGATTGGAGAAATCCAGTGAAAATGAGCTAGTTCAGTGCGCACCTGACAGCTCTGTGCTGGGGCAGCTGCCTAATCGCCTATGGCATTGCCTGTTGTTCTTCCATGCAACACAAAGAGAGAAGTCATGGAGGTCATTCACGCTGCTCTTTTCCATAAAATAGATGCAAACTGGAACTAAGGCTGTCAGGCTCTAAACATTACCATTTAAAATATGGTTTGGAATGACATGAGAATGATTTATGAGCTATGAATTGTGGCAGAATTTTCACTTTGGGTAAAATATTCCATTAACGAAAAAAAAAATCATTCTCTTTGCATTATTGTCATAAAGTATGGCACATCCTCCCTGTTTGTTGTATTTACAAGGATAGTTACTCAAATAGTTGCTTATCTGAACTTGTGAAACTACTGTACTGTGCACAGTGCCATTTGCTCAACTCTGTCAGGTCCCTAATGCCCTGTAAATATTGATAATCTAGCACTGTTCCAGAGGCTGGTATTCTTTAAGCCTTATCTTATTGAGTAAAAGCTACTCAACCAAAGCAACTTAAAAGTTGACCTCATTTAATGAACAAGCCAGAAAGACCTCACAATGGAACAAAAAGTCCAGCCCTAAAGAAATTATTTATTGAATAAATTCTGCATCCTGCATCAAGTAGGTCTAAGTTGATCTAACATATGTTTTAATTAATTTATTCATTCATAATGTTGATTTATGTAGCAAATGAGAATTATTAAAGTTTCAAAATATATTTTGAGACAAAGATTTAGGCAATGACTTTCCGTTTTCTTTAAGTTAATTAAATCAATGGTTTTTCAATAGAATAAAGAAAGTTAAAGTATAGTATTTTGGGTAAAAGCGTCCTTATTGTTGGGGTCAACAGCAAAACAATTGACAAGATGATAAATAAATGGCTGACTTTCCTGTTTTTTGACATGACATGGTTAGATTCAAATGGTTAATATAATTTATTAAGTTAGGGGTGGAGATGATCTATATAATAATTATGATTCATATTTATAATGAAACAATTACACTTAATATTATATTAAATCAAATATAAATTGTTGGTTCTGTGAAGCCATATTAACTTATTATGAGATCACATTCAAGCATTTTAAGAAGCTCTCAGAATATATATATTTTTAATTGTGTTTTTCTGTATTTTTAAAATGAACACATTTTAATGACAAAATAAAAATAAATTAAATATTTTTTTATTTATCAAAATAAACATAGTAGAAACTTTTCTAAAATGACTTTTTTAAAAGGGGTTTTAGATTATGCAATACATATTACACAAGCTACATTATTTGACACAATACTAGGGGGCCCCATGCTGATGAGCCTTTTGCCCCGAGTGTGGTATAAAAGGCCCCCCTCGCCATCTCATACATATAAATGATTTTTAAACAAAACAAATGACTTTAGGATTTATTATTTTCTCACAAAATGTGTTATTCCATCATTGTTCAATAAAATTGTCTGCAATCATGCACTACAGAAAAGCCGTTTTCCTTGAGGTGTGCTTTTAACCCTATTGTACCCTAAAAATTTTATACAGTGGGGGGAAAAAAGTTACTTACTGTTGTTTATAATTAAAATCAAATGCTGTAGCAAACTTGCAGAGTCTTTTGGAAATGGTTATAGATTAGGTTTTGCCTTCAGGAAAGAATTTTTTTTAAAAAAAAGAGAAAAACGTGTTATCTTAATGGATTCAGTGCCACAGTGAGGAACCTCAAGTGACGCTTGGCAGGCAACAACAACAACAGACGGTCCTGGAGAACTAGAGAGATGCATCAAACTTCTAAACAGCCCAAATGACTAGACATTGTTGAGCAAGTAGCATTGAAAGCCCATATGATGAGAGCGAAAGTAAGAAGGGGCCAAAAGAGAGAATAAGAGAGTAAAAGAATGAGAGAAAGAACGTAGTCACGTATAATGTCAGTGTCTCTCTTGCTTCAACAATCTTGTAGCAATTCCCCATGTTGGAAACACGCTACCCTCTAGCGGAGCACTGCCACATCTGACCTGTTATTGTACTTGTTCAGGTTTGAGGAGATCAGGTTTGCTGACTGCTATTTTGTTGTTTAATGTTTATTAATAACAACAGCAATGTTTTGACATGTCCTATATGAAAATCAGTTTGATCAAAGTCTAGTTCATTTTTCCCAGAATATAAAGACTGAATTTAAAATACATCCTCCATAAATTTTTGTCAACATTTATGAGAAAGCTATCACATGGCTTCCTATAATTTTAGCTGGTTTGGCTACTCAGTGTCTGAGACACATCACTTTGAAACAAACTTGCATGACTTAGCATAGCCCAGGTCAGTGAGCAGGTGCAGACACACAGCACACTGGGTCAGCTGAACTGTCTGAGGAAATATACATAAGCAGTCGGGAGGAAATCATCCTTTCTGTTTGGCCAAACAACCATCTCTAGGAGGAGTCCTGGTTGTTCGTCATTCCATTAAGAATGGGAACCTTAAATGCAGTCGAAATGTTTTCTTAGCCTTTCCTAGATTTGATGGCTTGGTTTTTGCTCTGATATGTATTTTCAGCTGTTAGACCTTATAGAGGCATGTACCTTTCCAAATCATGTACAATTAGCTGAATTTACCATAGGTGGACTCCATTGAATGTCTACAAAAATGTCAAAGAAGATCCAGAGAAATGGAATGCACCTGTGCTAAATTTCAAGTGTTGAACAAAGGGTTTGAATATTTACGTCAATGTGATATTTCAGTTATGTCTATTAACTAAAGTTATTACAAATCTGTGAAAAAATAATGTAAAGCTGCAACAAAAAAATGGAACCACTACAGCAAAATTGACAGTAAACCTCAATATTCACCTTAAAGACCATGTTTCTGCAAAATCCGACCACAGAGAACTCCACAAAGCCAACACGCATGAAAAGCTGCAATTGCTAAAACTTCTTATAATGCAAAAAGATGGTGTCAAGATCATAAAACCTGGACAGAAGGAGTACCAAGATGAACTTCAACATACGCCCTGACCTTACTTGAATATTATCAAACCACTGTGAGAAGTTTGGGAGAGAAGTGTGAGAAGCCAATTCCCTCCTTTATCATCTCTGAAACAACTGATAGATGTTCTGATTCAAAGGGATTCAACATTCAAAGGGAGACTATTCAGAAGTTGTATGAATATATTCTAACAAGGATGGAATCTGTATTAAGGGCAAATGGTGGTAAAACACCTTAATAAAGAAATATGGCCTATTTACCAGGTGTTCACATTATTTTGTCCGATCCCTGTATATCACAATATACTAGTTACAATACCAAAGTATTATACAACATTATTTATTATTATTAGAAATCTCACAATTCTTGACATAAAAAATAAAAATATCAAAGAAAAAATATAATACAACATAAAATAGGTCTAAAGTAATTACTTGAGACAATTAAATGGTCAATAAAAATTCAATATACAAATAAAATTGGCTTGAATTCTCTTATATGCTCAAAAACAACTCATACATTAGTTTATGATTAAATCTGAAGAAAAGCAATAAAAAATGCTGAATAGCATTTTAGTCTAAATGGCAAAATGACAATAACTACATAATTATTTTCATCATTGGTACATAACCTGTATGTAATGTCACACACAATGCGCAGTAAACGCTTGTGCAGTGTAAATTAAGCCTAAAAGTAGGCCTTCATATCATCAAACTGTGGCATCAAATATCCACAAAATGTCTCTTTCAGACCAGTCACTTACTTTAAGTGGCAGTCATCAGAGCTAAATATAAAAATTATTAAATATTAGTTAGAAAAGTAGTGATAGGAATATGCAAATGTTGTTACATTTACACCAATTAAATGATTTGGAATATGGCTTAAATACTGAAAGATAAATAGCATTATAGGGAGAGGAAATTAACAAGCTATCATTGCTATAATGGAGGATAAAGGCTAACGCTGTAAGCATAAATGCAGAGTCATTCTCTCGTCTGACTTTGATTTCACCTCATTGTTTACTGACTGCCATGAAGCTGACAATCTGATCATCTGCTTCCAGGGGAAAGACGAATGAATATCAGCAGGAGCCAATTTGGAGTACTCTCAGTATTATGATGCATAATCACAGATGCACATTCAATAACTCAACCGGACAGCCTTACCCAGCCCATCTCTGGGCTATAAACACAAGACAGACTCACTTTAACCACACAAAAAAATCAGCAGTGCTGTCAACATCACAATAACTGAGATTTTAAATGCCAACCATAAAGCACACCGATCCAGAAAAGCTTTAGCAGTGCATTTCAGGAGCTTGCAAACAAGACTGTAGAGTGTTGTCTAGAGGAGTAATTCTTTACCACAGGGCTAAAGACCACTAACGGGGACTGCTTAAGGAGTTGTGCAAGCAAGATAAGAAACTAATATTAAAACTTTAAAACAATAATCCACTAAATATGAAACTGTTTATGAAAAAATGTTTGTGTTGTTGTCAGTTAAAGTCTTTGGACTCACCATGCTGTTGAGATCAGAGTCAAAGCTTCCACAGGGGTGTCCAGAGCCTCCCAGTGCCTCCATTCCCTCCTCGTCCCACATGTAAGTCCCTCCAGAGCTGTCTGAGGGTGACAGGTCCAAAGACGATCCATGAGGAAAATCACCTAAAGGAGACAACGTCTCATGCTCAAAGCCATCTTTACCAGCTGAAAGAAAGACAATATACTGAGTTAGAAAGGGTAATATAGCTGTTTTTTTAAGTAATCTTAGTGACAATATTACATTGCACATACCTGCACTTACAACAATCTTAGTGACAATATTACATTGTACATACCTGCACATACAATTGTCGATTTATATATTTTTATTCCTTATTTACTTGTTCTATTTTTTATTATCTGTGTTTTTTGTTCTGTCACTGTCATTCTGTTCCACTGTGGAAGCTTCTATCACGAAAACAAATTCCTCGTATGTGTAAACATACCTGGCAATAAAGCTCATTCTGATTTTCTGATTCTGACATACAGGTGCATCTCAATAAATTAGAATGTCGTGGAAAAGTTCATTTATTTCAGTAATTCAACTCAAATTGTGAAACTTGTGTATTAAATAAATTCAATGCACACAGACTGAAGTAGTTTAAGTCTTTGGTTCTTTTAATTGTGATGATTTTGGCTCACATTTAAAAACCCACCAATTCACTATCTCAACAAATTAGAATACTTCATAAGACCAATAAAAAAAAACATTTTTAGTGAATTGTTGGCCTTCTGGAAAGCATGTTAATTTACTGTACATGTACTCAATACTTGGTAGGGGCTCCTTTTGCTTTAATTACTGCCTCAATTTGGCGTGGCATGGAGGTGATCAGTTTGTGGCACTGCTGAGGTGGTATGGAAGCCAAGGTTTCTTTGACAGTGGCCTTCAGCTCATCAGCATTTTTTGGTCTCTTGTTTCTCATTTTCTTCTTGACAATACCCCATAGATTTTCTATGGGGTTCAGGTCTGATGAGTTTGCTACCAGTCAAGCACACCAACACCATGGTCATTTAACCAACTTTTGGTGCTTTTGGCAGTGTGGGCAGGTGCCAAATCCTGCTGGAAAATGAAATCAGCATCTTCAAAAAGCTGGTCAGCAGAAGGAAGCATGAAGTGCTCCAAAATTTCTTGGTAAACGGTTGCAGTGACGTTGGCTATGAGCTTCTCCACCCTTCCTCCAGACTCTAGGACCTTGGTTTCCAAATGAAATACAAAACTTGCTCTCATCTGAAAAGAGGACTTTGGACCACTGGGCAACAGTCCAGTTCTTCTTCTCCTTAGCCCAGGTAAGACGCCTCTGACGTTGTCTGTGGTTCAGGAGTGCCTTAACAAGAGGAATACGACAACTGTAGCCAAATTCCTTGACACGTCGGTGTGTGGTGGCTCTTGATGCCTTGACCCCAGCCTCAGTCCATTCCTTGTGAAGTTCACTCAAATTCTTGAATCGATTTTGCTTGACAATCCTCATAAGGCTGCGGTTCTCTCGGTTGGCTGTGCATCTTTTTCTTCCACACTTTTTCCTTCCACTCAACTTTCTGTTAACATGCTTGAATACAGCACTCTGTGAACAGCCAGCTTCTTTAGCAATGAATGTTTGTGGCTTACCCTCCTTGTGAAGGGTGTCAATGATTGTCTTCTGGACAACTGTCAGACCAGCAGTCTTCCCCATGATTGTGTAGCCTAGTGAACCAAACTGAGAGACCATTTTGAAGGCTCAGGAAACCTTTGCAGGTGTTTTGAGTTGATTAGCTGATTGGCATGTCACCATATTCTAATTTGTTGAGATAGTGAATTGGTGGGTTTTTGTTAAATGTGAGCCAAAATCATCACAATTAAAAGACTTAAAGACTTAAACTACTTCAGTCTGTGTGCATTGAATTTATTTAATACACAAGTTTCACAATTTGAGTTGAATTGAACTTTTCCACGATATTCTAATTTATTGAGATGCACCTGTAATTATGCTGCCTTCTAAGGTACCCTGTTTTGGCAAAAATCTAAGGTAGCATCAAATTCATCCTTTGCGGAAATGCAATACAGCATTACATACAATGCTGAGAAGTGCCAATAAAAATATACACAGTATAAATGTAAAGTACATACTGAGATAAGAGAATCTATTTTAACTTTGAAAAAATTAAACACTTCACCTTTCAACACTATATTATTGTATAATTTTACAGCTATTCAAGCTGAAATCACACTGGCTTGTGTCTACGAGAAAATTTAACGTCAACCTGTCATTAGTAAACCCTGACGGCAAGTGCTAAACTCCCGTCAAGCCAGGCATAACTGAAATAGTTGTGCACTTATTATGATTATTACAGTAATCTGCAGGCAGCACAAAAAGTCTTTGAGGTATTTTCCATGAGTTATTCAGTGAGTCTTCAGCAAGAACCGTCAACCAAATTAAGCTTGTAATTTTATTCTTAATAATAAAAAAATTTTCTTAAGAATATATTTGAGAACCATTCAATTATTGCATTTATGAGCATTAAAGTATTTATCTTTGGGAGCATGTACAGTATCACACTCTGAAGATAGCAACCAATGTAGGCTGCAGACAGCAAGTCAGCTAACTAGGGTTTGAACAGTCAAAATGTCAGACACAGAAACACAAAAAGTTGTTATGAGGTGTAATGGAAATAGATTGATTCTCAGTCACACCTGCGAGGCCCATCCCTGCCCAGTCAACAGTTTCGGATAAGAAGGTGTGCAGGCTGGTCTCCGATGATTCCTCATTGCACTTGCTAATTAGAGTGTTGTCATCTTTACATAGTCCAAAGTGGTCTAACCCCTCATTGAGGACAGGCAGCAGTGTCTCACCTCCATTCCCGAGATTATCAAAGTCATCCATGTACTCTTCACTAGTGTCATTGTGCTCCACTGAGGAGGACGATGATAGTGACATATCCTCCAAGGAGGGGCCCAGACTCCCCTCAGCCTCCTTTGCTTCAAAATAAGTCTCATTTGGGGACGTTTCAATACTTTCAATGTTGCTACTTGGTTCTGAACTGGTTTCTGCTATCTTTGTAGTGTCTTGGACATTTTTTATCAATTCTGCATCTTTTTTGACAATTCCAAGGAGAACAGGGCGGGGATGTTTGGTTAGTGTTGGACGTGTAAGTCTATAACTGAGCACAGAAGGTTTTTTACCTGAAAAGCTGGGTAAAAGAGATTTCTTTATTGTGTTTGTTTGCAAAAGATGACTGCTAGTAGTTACAGCAGGTCTTGGAATTCCATATTTATTTACTTTCTCTTCAGATAATACTGTATTTGGCTGTATGAGGGAAGATTTCGCTACTGGAGACTGTGCCAATGGTCTGGGAAGTTCTTTAGCAAGCTCTGTAGCTTTATTAAAGGAGAAGGAACGGGTAATAGGTGGGTTGGTGGAGCATGTTGCCCTCTTGGAGTGGGTGAAACTCTGAGAGCGAACTATGCTGTCTTTAGAGTCAGACTTGATGCTGTCGTTGGACAGGGATAGTTTGCTCTGCAGGGTTCTTTGTTGGGATACATGGCCAACACCTGGCCCTGAGGAGCCACATCGCCCATTACCAACACTTACTCCATTCTGAGAAGCCATGTCATTATTCAGGGGATTCCCTGTTAAGAGGCATTTCGGAGTAGTCATGCGGGGAAAGGTTTTAATAGGTTGGGGTATGCTCCTGGGGCAACTACTTTGTGAAGTGGGGACTGCACTTTTACATTTTACTGCAGCTGCAGGAGAAGGCTTTTTAGTCACCATCACTGGTGTTACACTAGTCTCCTCATCCAAGCTGTCAGAGTGTTGAACTTTATTTCCAATGTCCTCTTCACCCTTTCTCCAATTTAGGGATTGTAGGCGTGTCAAATTATTGTGCCTGACTAGAGGTCCACCTTTGGACTCTGGGGCAGATCCTTGGGGAAGGGCAGTCATGTTGGTGCCTGAGGGACAGGAAGCAAACTTGGGCAACCTGGAGACCATGTTGAGCTGTTTGACAGCCTTCCTTTCCATCAGATAGGTTCGCCACCATGGATGTGAGGACAGAACTACAAAAAAAGAGGAAAGAGAGGATGAAATATGAACCAAGCAACTTGCTTGCATGTTGTACACCAGGGGTGGCCAATCCTGTTCTTGGAGATCTACCTTCCTGTAAAGTTCAGCTCCAACCCTGATCACAACCAAACCAGCTATTTAAGAACTTTAGAAGCACTTGATGATTACAGACAGATGTGTTAGATCAGGGTTGGAACGGAACTCTGCAGGTTAGTACATCTCCAGGAACAGGATTGGGCACCCCTGTTGTACAGAAAAGCCAGTGGTGCAGCGCATGGATATGCAGGGAGGGTATGCACATATAATATCACATTAACAACTAATGGGCCCTTTATTATTATTTTACACGTACATTCTGTTCTACTGAAGTGATGAAGTTCTAAAGTAATGATGTAAATGAGGGCAAATGAAGTTTCATCATATCATAATTTGAAAGGGCATAGTGGAGGAGAAGAATTTCTGTAAGAAATCAATTAAATATGGACCTCACAAATAGCTATTTTTCCCTTCAGAAGACTTTCAATCAGAGCATGGTAATCAGAGTATGGACCACTAGTACTAGTACTGTGTATGGACAAAAACAACAACAGCATTCTGCAAAACATCTCCTTTTAGAAACACTATCGCAAAAATATTTTTGGGAAGTTCGTTTGAACTATGGTTTCAGGAAACAGCAAATCATTGAACTATGTTGGCAACGATGAAACTTGTGACTATACTAGGCTAACAATGCTTTTAAGAAACGCACCCCAGTTTAGTTCATGGAGTTTTCTTCTAACAAGTGTTCTGATCTTAATCAGAAAGACATAGAAAATGTGCAGAGCAGTGGGGTGCCAGGACCAGAATTGAGAACCACCTTATTCCTTGTCCTCAGACTTCCCCTTGTTTGAAGGGATTGACATGAGGATCTCAACAATAAAACCATTAAATGCAGTCCCTGAGCCTTTGAAATTACAGGCAAGTGATATACAAGGACTTTAAAAATTGTCTTGATATTTTTAACAAGAAGACATCATATGAGAGGTCCAACCTTCCAGACAATACTCTGATTAAGATCAGAGAGGTGAAAGCCACGTGTGCGCTTGGATGAATATTAACCTGATGCAGGGGTACAAAGCATTACACAATCATTACGTTACAAATGTTCAAAAGCCCTGTCCATGCAATGAATTCACTGGAGGGATAAAGTATGACCAAGTGGAGATAATGCCCTATTGCCAAGAGTTGGTGGATACAAAGTATCTATTCAGGAGCAAGACAGAGCAACATGCCATGTGACTAACTGAGATCCATCAGTACTGGAAGCATGTTATGTTCAAGCCTCTAAAGTATTTGTGTATAGTTGCAATGAAAAGTCTGTAAACCATTTTGGATTTTTTGATCTGACACAATCTTACAAAACTAACAACACACAACTAACCAAAGAACTTAGTGACACATTGAGTTTAGTAAATTAAAGCATCAATTAGCAGCACCAAAAACTCCACCAAATGTTCCCTGTAGCTGCTTATAGGATTTGCACAACATTGAGGATACATTTTGGACCTTTCCTCCCTACAAATGTGTTTCAGTTCATCAACATGTTCTGGGTTGCACAGCCCTCTTCTGGTTATGCAGATTATTCTTTGTTTTCTCTAAGCTTCTAATAAATCCATATGGTATCACAAAGATCTTTGGGACATACCATGGTAAGTAAAATATCATGGTACTTGAATTTTACAATCATTCATTATTGGAATAATGCTATGAACTACACTAGCAGAGTTTAGTTTTTTAGGGTTGCTGAGCAAGCAATTTTATATGCAGAATTAATAGAGCGCTACCGTGATGATTTTTGTAGGCCGACACAAGTTAAGAAGTTAGAATTACCTTGGTTCCCTTGACAAAATTTTCCCATTGGCTCTTTGATTTTCACAGAATATATTCTCTGTGACCAACAAACAAAATTTGCTATCAGAAATTGCCTTTACCTGTTGTACTCTTTTAATTAAAAAAAGAAAAATACCAATTAATAATGAACAGGTTTACACCTATCTTCTTTAACTTATCCAACAACCAATATGACTGAAGAGCATTAAAAGCTGAACTAAAATCAATAAAAAGTATCTCTTATCTATAAGCAAATTGTCATGGGTTTAATTTCAAATTTACCTCAGTTTTCAATAAAGACATGAAATATTTCCAAAACATTTAATTAAAACTGAAGAAACATGTAAATGAAACTAAAATCCCTATTCTCAGCGGGGCAAGACTTCTGTGGTAATGGGGTAATCACCCATTTTTTTCCACAACGCAGAAACCTTATGTGAATCGAATGAGCATTGGAAAAGTGTGCACCAGACTGGGCCAAGCTCTTCAGCTCAAGTTTTTAGGAGGCAAGAGAAAAAGTTTCATACGGTCCTATATATTTTTAATGCATATCTGGATGAACAACAACTCTACTGTCCACCTCAAGCACCATGCCCATATCTATAGAGTCTAAAATGATGTTGCAGCCATTCACTACATCCATTAGCCATTACTCCAATATTCAGTGTCACATGATCCTTGAGAAATCATTCTAATATTCTGATTTGGTGCTCAAAAATATGTTATTATTAATGTTGAAAACAGTTGTGATGCTTAATATTGTGGAAACTGTGACACATATATAAAATGTATTTATATACAAGAAAGATGTGCCAAGACAGCCTACAAGAACCCACATGACAAGGAATACTTTTTGATCCTGCTGAAAAGTCACTGAAGAGAGTGAAGCTGGATTAAAATCCACTGGACTGAACAATTAAAGATCTCACAGAATAGTCTATGCACCTTCTTTAGCTATTTACTTACTTGTAAGACACACATTTGCTTCCCATCACTATGCATTTGCACTGTATGTTGTGCTAACTGAGTCAATGTGTTTGCAGTCAAACTCCCAGGCACACCTATGTGCTTACACATGACACATGAGGCGGTGCAAAAGGATGCAAGCTTGAGAAATCAAATATTGTCTGTAAAAGATCAACAATAAGACAAAATGACAGACATATAGCTGTGACAGATATGACTCACTGATAAAATGTCAGAAATACGAACAGTGAGGCAAATGGTAATGATTTGAACCTTGCCTACCCACACACATCTGTATCATTTACAAGACAAAAATATTACAGGCCTATCACAGTATGAGTAACTATCGATCTGTGTGTGTGTGTGTTGTGTACTGGAATATATGATTTATGAGGACACAAATGTGTATAATGACATGGGTACTACAACGTAAACATGGTTTATGAGGACACTTCCTGTGTCCCCATAAAACAAAAGGCATAAAAAAAACATTAAAAAACTGTGTTTTATGAAATTCAGAAAATCAAAAATTGCCAGTAGTTTTCTGTAAGGGGTAGGTTTAGGTGTAGGTAGGGCTGCACGATTATGACAAAAATCATAATTGTCGATTATTTCCTTGAAATTGTAATTGCGAATTTTTATTACGATTATCACAATTTACATTGAATGATGTTTATACCATTGTTTGATGCAACTGCATGCCGTATTTTTATATGAAAATAAACAAGCTGAAACCACTAACTGAAAAACCTTTAGTGCTTTTCTATAGTATTAAGCCTCAAATGTCAAATATACATTGGATTGGTTTCTTCTTTAAATTATAAAAAAAAAGTAAATATATGAATGGTATTATAATGTTATACTAAAATTAAAACAATGGGAAAAACCCTTAAGATAACATGTAGAAAGAAAAAAACATATCTTACGCATGCAGAAGTGGACTTTGAACGATTAATTGCCGCTTTGAACGATTACGCAATTGTGGCATCCATAATTGTAATTCCGATTAGAAATTTGATTAATTGTGCAGCCCTAGGTGTAGGGCAATAGAAAATACAGTTTGTACAGTATAAAAACCATTACGCCTATGGAGAGTCCCCATAAACCACAAATGCATGTATGTGTAGGCCCCTATGTGTGTGTGTGTGTGTGTGTGTATTACTATGAATTGTTAAATAGACACTTGACTTGCATTTAAAATGCTTTCTATGCACATACAATAACTTTTGTACATTTAATTTGATGTGGATACCAAAATGGGACACCTCATCTGGTAACAGTATCACAATACAATCATCATTTTGATGGTAATTCAAAACCATTTATATGAATTAAATACTACTTAAAGACAAATACAATTTAAATAAATAAAAAAATTGAAAAAATTAAAAACTCAAATGTTCCAATAAAAGATCCCACTCTAAATTCCGATGGAATGAGATGCATTAGAAGCAGCATTTGAAAGCAGCATAGCTGATTTATACCTGTGACACACATCAGATGAATTCTTAATGTGGCAAACTGTGATGTTGCTCAGCAACTGTAATTAACTAATCGCTGCTTTACATCACACCCTTAATAACAAGTTCTTCCTTGTCTTGACTTGTTTGAGGCGCATCCCAATCTGTTTTCACATTTCTCCATGTTTCTTTGACACTCTCATGTGTAATGTAAAGCATTCCTGCCCAAATACATACTGTGGTATAAACAGCATAACAGAATCTGCACAGTCGACTCCACTGTCACACCACCTAGCTTTTCACAAAGCTAACTAAAAAACGGCAAGGACAACATAACCACAACCATCTAAACCATTACAGTCCTGCTATCACAAACAGTTTGTCTTCCATTACAGGTGTGAGGTAAGCCTTTTTTTACAGTCTATGGGTTAGCCTAAAGCATGCTAATAATGAAACTGATAATGAGGAACATTTCAAGAAAAAAAAACAAAAAAAAACAAACAACTAAGAAGACTTATCCTCATGCATCCTCAAGAAATATAATCCAAAAAATTCACTGCAGTTTCCAGCTGAAATAAAGACTATATGGTCATTCCGTGTAAACTCACCCAGAGGTCCCCGGCTCAAATTTTTGATTTTGCTAATATTTTAGCAGACAGACATGTATAGTGACGAAAGCCAAAATATTAAATGTCATG